TTCCAAAGGACCTTCTGGTATTTTATTATTGTGCTACATTTGCTAAGATTTGTCCCCTAGTATTTCCGTTTCAGTGACATGCTACAAATAGGTGCTGGGTGTGATGACAGTTCACAAAGTATTTGCTAAATTCAAGGAAGGAGCACCCATGCTTTTCAACTATCTGTATTTGAGAAGTTTCGACTATATGGCTTTTTGAGAAGTTGAACAAAGTCAATATCGCAGTGGGCTAATTCTTTTTTCCTTTTTTTTTTTTTTAAAATCACACTTGCTGGTTTGAAAGCTATTAGGAAAATACTTTCTTTTCACTGAGGGGAACAAAAAAAAAAGGGAAATTTACTTTTACTACAGTAGGGGCTGATTTCAGACCAGTGCAGTGAGCTAGAGCAGAGGCTGCACGAGCTGGGCATGTTGCACTGGACTGTGCCCCATCTACACACATGATCACAGCACGAGAGGCAGAATGACTCCTTAAAAGCCAACAGCTTTCCACCTGCTGCTCAGTTTGACAGGGCGGCAAGCTCAGGAAATAGCCCATTTACTAACCTTGGCTTCTCTGCACCCAGTGTTCAGCTCAGCCAGCCAAGTCAGAGGAGCACTAATAGCAGTATTTATCCTTTTGGCAAGTGAGGAGACACGGAGAAAGCAGGGAGGAAAAGACAGAAGGCACCCCAGAAAAGGAGCAAGAAAAGCCACACAGACAAACAAAAGGGTGTAGAGCACATTTTGCAGAAGGCAGAAACTCCCACATCCATTAGGACTTGCTCTCTAAGCAACAAGAGCTCCTGGCAGACACAACCGACTTCACTGAAAAACTGTTTGTTTTAATAAAGGACAGGGAGAAAAAAAAAAAAAGGTGAAGAGAGACATCAAAAGAACAGGAGCTATGCAAAAACAGGAGGCAAGGGCAGACGCCATTTGTCTTCCCCATCTATGGAAACGTGAAGGCACATGCCAAGGGAATAGCAATAGTGAAGGGTGGCTGGGGACATTTGCTCCTTACAGACCTCCACGAGAAATGCCTGCCTTTCCCCAGGAGTCCATAGACGGCCCAACAGGGAGACAGGATAGCCACTGGAGCACTCACAACTGGCTACCCCTGTCTGCAGGATGCTGCACTTGCCAAACTCATATTTTGATGGAAGTCACCTCATCCCAAATTTGTAATATGAACAGTTTGGGAATTTCTCTTGAATCCAGGTGAAATAAATACGTAAAAAATAACAACACACACACCCCCCCAACAGATCATCCTAACATGATGCATGCCTCTTATTTCCTACTTATTAAAGAACAAATCATAAAACCTGATATTTACCAGCTTGGACTTGCAACCAACATTCACTTCACATCCACTTGAAGGCAAGGGATAGGTCCCTCCAAAGTCTCACCTGAGCAGATTGACGCTCACAAATGCCACTCTTGCCCAGAGCCCTAAACACTTCCCACGGGAACATTGCTGTCCCACAGCAACAGGACAAGATCACGCCTGCAGTTATACGAACATGCAAAGGACAGAGGAGGCTGCCATTCCAGTGCCAGCAATTTCTAGTTAACCCCACGTTCCAAAATGTATTTATGTTCAAAGCCAAAAAATATAAATAATGGCAGCAAAGGTAAAAGGGTTTATAAAAACATGCCTCTCCACTGTTAACCAGTGGCCTATTAGTTCATTTTTGAAAATTATGAGAAATAACGTCCTGCCCTCCACAGTAAGACGAAGAGTTAGAAATGTGGGGAAAAGCGTTTGTATCTGCTGATCAAGCGAAAGAAAACTTTTTTCAAGCTGCCTTTCTGACTCCAGTGTATCAACAGTTTGTCCCCCCTGCCCCATGACTACATCTGACACCACCGCCCTGGCTTATATCACCAGTTGAAAAGTGCTAGTCAGACTCCAAGATAAACTTGTCAATAGCAAGGCGCAGACATTCACATTCTTCCCTACCTGCTTGCGAATGTCAGCTGTTTGGTCTGGGAGCAGTCCCTTGAAAAGCTTTTACTGAGGGAGAAAAGGAAAGGGGGATGCAGACGGCATTTCAAACAGAAAAAAAATCGGGGAGGGGAACCCCACAAAGACTGCAAAGAGAAAAAAAAAAAAACAAAACCCACCCTGTCCCCATCAGGTCCTCCCAACAACCTTCTTTATCAGAGGTTCATTGTCAATCAATTAGCCAAGGCAGCAGGGGTCTGTAGGAAGGGGGGTAGCTCGAGAGACAATGGTCTGCCCTGTTGTATTACTATTTAATCACTTTTCCTAAATAAATAAAGCAGCCCTGAGGTGCTGTCATGTCAAGGGAATTTATAACAAAAAAACCCTTCATTTTTCATTGGTCATTACTTTTCCTTCCCTCCCACCCCTGCAGGACTAGAGAGGGTTATTACTGTAGCCTTAAGTTCCATCTTTGTGTTGCTTGCCTTTGATTCCCACTCGGACCTTGCCACTTTCTGGCACTAATTTGTCAGGCCGAACAAAGGAGGGATTTGTACCTCCTGTAAGGTCTCAATTAGGAAAGGCTTCTGCTGTATTATGTGCCATTGGGACAGGACACAAAGACGGTAATTACAGGAATTTGCACTAAATGGCTGAAGAATTCACAGCAAAACTTTTCTTCCTCCCCCCTCCTCATCCTTTTCCAAGCTTACCCCTCCCAGCAGCCTTGGGGAAAACCGCTCTCAATGCCTGCAAGCTGTAATTACCAACAGCAGGCCCCTTAGGTTAAACAGCAGCCCACGCCGGGGAACAGCGCAAACTGCCTGCAGGGAGCAAGGTACAAGGAGAGAGTCTCAGCTTGCTGGTGTGCCTCCAAAGTCTCCTCAGCACAAACTTTTTTGAGCCAGACAAGTTTCCCCAGTTTCTCCCAGCTGTAATTACAATTATTCATTTCTTTGTGCTGTGGTAACAGCTAGAAGTTCCAGCCGACTCTCAAAGACCAGCTCTAGGGGTCTCAGGCAGACAGCAAAGGGTCCGCTCCTATGGTGTGCATCCCCAGCCTCAGGTACAGGGAATCCAGTGGCCGGCTTCTCACAGACTTTCCACAACTCACATTTCTCTGCACAAGAGTGTTTGTTCAGTTTTGCAGACCAAAAGGAGACCACAGGAGCACTAGGAATGCCTCACATGTATCAGGAAAAGACTCCATGCAACCCTGACACAGTCAGAGCACCTTATTTCTGTGGGGAATACATGCGTGAGTGCGGATGAATTGTCCCATGTTTGGGAGAGGAAATCCACCCCTTCCCACAGGAAAGTCTGCTCCCATACTACATAACACAAGACTAAAACCTATTTCACATTGGAGACATGCATTTTGTTGCCATCCCAGGGCCTGATGCTATTTTTGAGTAGGTCATTGGAAATGCTGACTTGAAACTCTCCTGGACCTCAGTCAGAGGATGAAGCAAAATTAGAAAAATTTTCCTCTACTGAATTAAATCCTCTACTGAGCTTTGAATTAAAAGAAATGAGGAGAAAGGAATAAAGCTTTAACGTCATCTGGGACATTATCTTAAAATAAGGCAGTTAATTCTGCTGTCTTCTTGAGTTTCACAAGGCTGGCTGCTGGGTAACACACTGGGCTGGATCCATCTGGGGGATACTTATTTGACCCATTCTTGGAGTCTCCCTGCAGTTTTCACTCTCACAACTACCCTTAAAGGTAAGACATGACCATTGTCCAATAGTGTTCAGGTAATCAGTTATTATGGGACCCAGGCACCTTCAGTTTCAGCAGTAGTTTGGCACATAATTACTCCCAGAAAAAACTGACGTGAAATCACACAAAGAGTTTGCAGCCAAGAACAGAACTGAGTTCAGGCAGAAGCCCCAATATTGTGACCAAATCATTAACTGCAGCGAGGCCAACCTTCACGATGCTCCAGCTACCAGGTGGGTGCCATGCACTGTGGAGAGGTGAGCAGGAACACCACCCACGTGTGACCACCAGAGAGGGACAAACCCAGCTGTACCCACGGGCAGTTCTGAGGGCAACCCAGTACTTCTGGGGCTCAGGTCTCCCTGGAAGGGATTCAGGCCAGCCAGCAGGTCCTGGGCCCACACAGACACCCCCCCCAGAGCCACGTATGGTTCCAGAGCAACAGGAGACCTCCACACCAGACAGCTCCCCCACCCCAGAGCAGAGTGGGGAGGAGGCAGGACCCTCACAGCTCCCATAACAAAAGAGGAAAACACCTCCAGAAAAGCTGTCTCTGATACAGCTGACAATCTCTAAGTGAGCATAACTAAAGCCAGCCACAGAGTACAATTTAGGCACAAAGTTCCCAAATTTGCTCCACAAAGGTGTCCTTGCTAAAGTAAAAGGACAATGAACTGCATTCACACAGGTCCTCTCTATTTTCACTTCATTCCCAAACTGGATAAAATCATGCTCTTGCCTAGAACTACAGTCAGCAGTCAAATGAATTGAGATTTACAATTAGATGCAGAGGCTTAAGGTCATGTTTTCACCCCTACCTCAAGGGAAGAACTGAGCAGATGAGCTCATGTCTGAACCTCAGTACTAGAACACACGCCGCCAAATGGTGGTGTTTCATGGAAGCATATATGCTTTGAGGAGTCTCCTCAGAAGGCCCAGAGCTGAAACTGAGTTCCAAAAATGACTGAGAGGAGACACAGTAATAAAAGGAAACAAAAGTGCTCCAAGTTGGAAAGTTGCATCATATCCAGAATTCAAATCACTTTGATTCTGGACCACCTTTCCAGTGTCCTGAATCAAGAAAACAGGCAGCCCTGGCCCATGTAGTGCTGTATGTGCAGGATCGAACGTTTTAGCACTGCTCATCAAATGCAGGTGAATCCCTGAATATCCCATAGGCTTTTCTCCACATTTTACAGAGAGCAAAGAAAGACTAACACACCAAAGTGTCTATGGCCATAGTGAGAGGCAGGGAACAGCTGTGTGCTGCTAACACACATACATGCTCTTCCAAGTGATTTCCTGCAGAAGGGGAGTGGGTGCAGATGCTGCAGTCTGGTTGCTTACCTGCGCACTTGAAGCTCTGAACTGTGAGCCCTCTCTCTAGAGACAGCGTGGTCAGGATGCTCAAGAAGCTGGTGGTCACAGATTGGCGCTTGCTCTTTCTAAGATCGTTTCCAAAGGGCCGATCTCCAGGTTTGTTCCTAAGCATGACCTGCGGGTTCCGAGTTAAACTTCTAGTAGCATTGGCTGCTGCTCTCAGTGCCTCCATCCACTCCTGGGCCCTCTGACGAGTCTCTGCACGCAGGCGGAGGACATCTTGAGGAAAAATGACCTGAAAGCAAGAGTCACAGCCATCCTGAGTATCTGTCTGGACTGACAGGCATACATCGACATTGTAGCTCAGCAGCGGATCTTCATCAAGCCTACCCGGTTGGAATGCCATGAGATAAGACCTGTTCAAGACAAAAGTAAATGCCTTCCAGTTATTCTGGACAGTTAACCTATAAAGAGTCCCTGATTTGAGAATATTTTGGTACTCTTTAGTGTTTTCAGTCAAATTCATGGATAGGAAGAGCTCCATAGGCTTCTCTAACAATCCATTGGCTTGAGAAAGGTCACTGTTATTGTCAGGCTTTGGCACATTCTCCAGTTTCTCCTGCTGCCTCGTGAAAGCAGGCACAGAAGCACGCACCACTTCCCAGAGCTTCTGTCCCCAGTCCAAAGCCTCCCACGAAGACTCTGCCTTCAGCTGTAGCTGCGAGTTGTCTGACAGGACAGCGTCAACCACCTTGGTTTCAATGCAACCAGTAACAGTGACTCTTTGAAAATGCATGAGTGGATACACGGTGGGAAGAGTCTGGTTGCCACTGCTGTCCAAGCAATACAGGTACAGTTTGTATGGGGAGAGCTCAGCGTAACAGGCTTGCCAGTAGCTGTCATTGTCTCTTCTAATTTCTAAGTATCCCTTCTTCAGAATATTTGGGAACGTTGACTTGCATTCTGGAGGAAACAAAATGAGAACGTTACCATTAATTCTTTTTAAATAACTGTTTCAAATTGCTACGCCATTCTGGCTTCTCTCTCCTACCCATACATGATATATCTGGAGGATAGGATCGCAGAAATAGCCTTCACCCAATTGGTTATAATTATCAAACACAAGCACTGACTCTACATTTGAGCCAAGGAGAATACAGCACTTTTTTACTCAGAGGCACCAAAACACTTTACAAAAAGGGGACAGGGAAACAAAGCGATTTTCCTGAGATTATCCAGGAGAATAGTGACAGAGCAATGAAACACTGCAAGTCTCCCAGAACCTAGTCCAGAAGAGTACAATATTATAAAGTAATCTATTGTCAATTAAAATAGATTTCGACAGTGAGAAATAAATACAAACTAAAACACCTTCCCCTCGTGCCCCTCTCTTTCCCAGGCTCAACTTCATGCTTTCACACACAACCCCTCTACCTCCCCCTGTCCCAAGCAGCACAGGAGGAAGGGGAATGGGGGGTCGTGGTCAGTTCCTCTCTGCTACTCCTTCCTCCTCACACTTTTCTCCTGTTCCAGTGTGGGTCCTCTCCAGGGGCTGCAGTCCTTCAGGATAGACCTAGCAGGTCTGCATGAGCACTCCATGGCCACAGCTCCTTCAGGAAATCTCCACCTTCTCCAGCATGGGGTCCTGCATGGGCTGCAGGGAGATACCTGCTCCACCATGGTCTCCCCCAGAGTCTGCAGGGGAATCCCTGCCCCAGCGCCTGGAGCACCTTCTCCTCCTCTGACCCTGGGCTGCTCCTCACACTTTCTTCCTCACTCCTCACACCACCATGGAGTGCTTTGCCCTTTCTGAAATGCACTCTGCCAGAGAGGCCCCACCTGTGGCTGATGGGTGCAGCTGCGCCCCACAGTGGGGCTGCTGGAACCAGCCAGAACAGCCCCATTGCCAGCACCCAGGCACTGCACCTGGCACTTGGACTTACCCAGGACACGGGGAATGGAGAACTGTGCCCAACGACAGCAGTTTCTTACCACATTTCATCACGACCCGGGACCAGAACATTTTGCACAGCTCTTTTTACTAGAGAGGAGCTTTGCTGATTTATGAGAATCAGGATCAGGAGACATGACCAAAAGTGAAAAGTAAGAGGCTACCCAGACTCAAACACACATATCTAAGCGCCTCAGCACTTCAGGTGCAGACCCTTTCACAAACCTAAGCCCAAGCTGAAGTCAAGGGGAATCTTCTTCATCCCCAGAAAGCCAGCCATACATGAGTCACTCCAGGCACCAAAGCGATACAAATTTAAAAGAAATTATCTGAAGCATTTCTGAGTTGTAAAAAAGGTTTCTGTGCAAAATTTGTTCCAATCTGACTTGCACCACTTCAGCCACCATTAATACATGCAAACATTGTATTTTCACCTTGGGCTGCACATGTAGCTCTATGCAATTTTTGTTGGTCCCTTTATAAATTCAGTGGCATTCACCGTTATGCTCTAACACCAACTTTAACACTTGGCACCCCGAAACAACCCAGCCTGAGGAACAAATTCTTGCTCCCATTTGACTTCTACTTCACCTTTCCAGTAAGGGTACCCATGATGGGTCTTGACTTACTAACAGTGGCAGAATTAACAGACACAAGTGAAGAGGTTTCTGCCTCCAGTTGTTCATCTCCCTTGGAGACTGCTATACCCAATTCAGTAGCAAGGCAGCCACCTGGGAACAGCTCCTCATCCACTGCCCGGCACAATTAGGTCAAAACAAAATCAGCATCAATTGACCTTAACATGCAGCATTACAATCCACAGCAATACAGGAGCTGTTTCACTCGTGGCTTCTGCCCTCGGGCTGACAACCTTTGAAAGAGGGATAGCATAGACAGCTGGAGGCGCAAAATATTTTCAGCATCTCAGCTTAACCAGTTACCACTCACGTTAACAGGCCACACTCTAACAAGTTTTAGACGCGATCACCTCTGAGTATACCTAGGATGTCTTCAGTGCAGAGCTAAGAGAACAGAAGCATCTGGGCTTGATGAAGCTTGGAAACAAAGAGCCAAAGGTAAGCCTGTATAAAAGTTACTGCATCCCCACACGTACTGAGCTTCCCAGCTAATACAGCCAGGATTGCTGGCCAAGCCGCTCTCACCACCGCCAGCTAATGGGTGAGTCTGTCTATCCTCCCAGGGCACAAGGAGAGTCAGGGACTATGAGTATTTGAGGGACTTAGTTACTGTCCAAAGGGCTTCTGATACCAACTGGTGAGAAAGCAGACCTTGGGCTGTAAACTTCAGTCTACGGAGATGCTCCTGTCCTTGGCTGAAAGCATTGCTGTAGTTGGCTGTGAGAGTTTCGTGTATGGTCAGGAGGAGGATTAAGAACAGCAACAGTGTAAAAGCTTTGGCTAGCTCTTCAGTGAAGACCAACTTTAAGGATTTATAAGGATTAAGTAGACAAGTTTCAATTAAACTTAATGAACACACATGAGAATTAATTGCATACTATACTTAATGTGCGTATGTAAACCTCATGGGGGTTAAAAAAACAGGGGAAGGATGCTACCTCCCATCCACGCTAACAAAAAGGAGGCACTTCGGTTTCGCCTTGCCAGCTCAGCCTCAGCTTCCCCGCATTGCCTGCTTACTCAGAACGGAGCCTGCATTTAACACCATGTTCAAAGCACTCTACACTTTACCTACAAAGATTTCCTGCATATATGACTAAAATCATAACAACAATTAAAAAATTGCTACTGTGGCACTAGGTCTGAAAAGGTGGAAAAGAAATCAATATAACTATACCTTGCCGACAAATAAGCTACTCGAGAGTATTTCAGCTAAATATGAAAACTGAAAGCCTAATCTAAAACACAAAATGGTAGAGAAAAAGCACACTTTCTTATCACAAATGGATAGATACACGTGCGCGCACACACACACTAAAAGAGAACCAATTTTGTTCACCGTACATCTCTGGCCCTGACATTCATTAGTATTTCTGCGCTAACTCAAAAGCCATTAATTTCTCTGAAACCCACACTAATCCCTTTGTAGTGCAGATAATGGGCAGCCATTCTAGAGTCATCTTCCCTTTCTATTAATCCAATCAGGGAGGCAGCGCTTCTGCAGCTCCAACTGCAATCTCTCTCGCTTCCATCAAGTACAGATGACAGTTCAAGCTTCTCCATAATAAGACAACTCGTAACCTTCCCCCAGCCACCCCTCCTTCATCTGCACACAGGTTTGCTTGTCTTTTGTTGAGTTAGAGAAAGGCTATCTCTCCCTGCCTTTCACAGAGGCACCCCTCTCTCCCTCCTTCGCCCCACTCCTTCCGTTCAAGCTCCCATGAATCGGCTCCACTGTGTCTCACTCTAACTGGGACAGAACCAGCAGCCAACTTGATTAAAATTCAAATGCCTTGTATTGTTTAGGTCAGGGCAATAGATGCTGGCAGAGACAGGTGGAATCCATATGCTACACATACACACCACACATCCCCCTTACAACCCTCTGCTCCTTTATCTCCTCGACATGCAGTGTGTCAGATAATACCTTTCCACTCAGAAAGCAAACACTACCATCTCTCCATCCACCTTCCAAACAGAAACTGCATCTCTTTTCCTCCCTGCAGAGACGGGGAGAATAAATTGAGGAAGAGTGAAAAAAGGGAAATAATAACAGTAAATGGCCCACGCCTGAGCCATTTGGAGTTATAATTTCAAGGGAAGAGGGGGAAGGAGGCAGAGGGAAACAAAGAGAGACTCAGCAGCTGGGGACAGGGCAATATTTTCTTCAGCGTCTCTCCTCTCCTTTGGGAATTGCCCACTCGTCCTGGCTAGGAACCGTGCACCAAGCACACATCTACCCCTCTCCACACTGGGGGGCAGTTGGTGCAACCAGTACCACAGGAGAGGGAGCCCAAATGTTGTCTCAGCATGTCCAGAAGATACACGCTCCTGAACAACTGACTGTACTTGCGTCCCTGTTGGTATAGCAAGAAAACTTGCCCTGTTTTCCACCAGTGAAGCATTTCTGATGACAGTAATACCAAGTAACTCGGAAAAGAGCAGAAGCAGAGATCCCTAGTTTCTGAGGGGTTTGTCTCTTGAGGTGGCACTCCTCTCTGGGTTCTCTAATGCTTAGTAAGAGATGAGCCTAAGTTACCAAGTTTTTGTCAATAGTCCTCCTCTCTGATTTCCATAGAACTTGAGACACCTTTGGGATCTAAAATGCTCTCAAATTGGGTTGGGCTAGTCACTGCTTGGTGGGGTTTGCTAGACCAGGGACAAACTGTGCCTCAGCCAGTGTGACTCAGATCCACAATGTCCACTTCCCTCCTACTTAAAAATACAGTCTTCTCTTCCCACCTATATTCCCATCTGGCTCTGCAAGTATATCTCTTTCAGGCAAGTATATCCGATTCCACTTGGTCCTGAAATAATGGCATTGATATTTAGCCACAAATTTCCAGCACATGGCTGTCCTGGAGCCAAATCTGGCTTTTTCTCCCAATGCCACCTCTTTTCAAGGGACTACTACAGCAATGAGACTTGTAACTAGGTAGCAGTTTGCATTAATTTATATAAAGAAACAGCATCTCTCCCCACCAGAAGGGCATTCACTCTTTTTCGTCTTCCTTAGGCTTCGGGAAAGCAAAACCTGCTTTAATTTTAGATTTATGCACTGCTAGTGAGGTTGGCTTAGCTGTTCACCAAAAAAACTCCTCACTGAATGAACTACCTAAACAGATGGACAAAGAACCTGAACAAATTATTCTTTATGTCTTTCCTTTCAGTTGTGGCATTGTACGAGAAACACACGAGAAACTCTGCTGAAGTCTACAGGATCCTGGCTGCCCAGCCACTCCATCCATTCCTTTTTGCTCCTCTGCAGCAAGTCCAACACTTGTATAGTGTTTGCTGAGCAGACGACCAGCACCCTGTGCATACTGACACAGTGCCTGTGCCAAGGGGGCAGTGGAGAAGGAGGTTGGATTCAG